ATACTAAAGTAGTTATACTAATCTAGTATAAGTACTAATTTAGTTTTATTATATTAGTACGCAATTATATTAATATACTAGCTTCTTTTTATAAAAGCTTATTATATAGCTCGCGCGTATACTTTCTTAATAAAACTATATTAGTCTTTTTTAAATATGCTCCTACGTTATTAGGTAAAGCTCCGTATTTCTATTATATACTCTTTAAAGCGATCTTAAGTATTATTAAGTAGGCTCTAGCCGGTCGTTTTTATAGTATCTTACCTAGTTGTTACGGCCAGCTAGTCGTAGTGAGTATGTTAGCAGAAGTTGAGGCTGCGAGTACTAAGTAAACAGTGTCGTAGTCGTGGATAGCTTCCCTGAAGCTATGTCTGTAAATCGTAAGGTAGGTAAGGCTTCGGTGATCAATCGTAGTCTTGTCAGAAGAGGTTCTCAGTGAAGATAGCTGAAAGCGATCGTAAGATCTGATACTAAGTTGATTGCTGAAGAAGCTATGGGAAGTCTGTCCTTGAGCCCGGCTCAAGTCCATACTATATACAAGTCCGCCTGTGAACATATCCTTTGTTGGTGATCACTCTTGTTCGTTGGGTGATCGCTCAGTGGATACTGGTGAGCGATCACTTGGAGTGATCACAGTGATCACCTTATCGCGTGATCACTGCTTCTTATCTACACGTGACTTGTCCATAGTTCTTCCGTTCCGTGGGAGTCACCCTGTGTTCCGTCTCTTTGCATATATGGCGTGCCGCAGCCGCCGCAAGCCTGCGGGGCGGGCCCTGGTCTTGGTCATGCATGTTGGGTCGTAACACTAGTCTTATACTTTCCTTTACTACTACTTTAGCCGCTTTTAATAAAAGTGATTTTATTATTAATAAAAGCTAGAAAATAATAATTTTATTACCTTTCCTTTAAAGATCTTATACGCTAGCGTATAGTTAGTAAATCTCTTATTAGCTTAATTACTACTACGGGTTACGGATAGCTAATATAGCCGCTTTATTATAAGTAAATACGTAAATAGCCCAGTAGTTAAGCCTTTATAAGAGAGACTTAACCGCTTTTATTAGCGCTACTAGCTCTACTATATATAGGTTCTACTCTACTCTTAGGCCGAGTATATATAAGGCTATTATTATACCGCTACCCCCTCTAAATAATATAGGTAATTGTTACGACCCAACATGCATGACCAAGACCAGGGCCCGCCCCGCAGGCTTGCGGCGGCTGCGGCACACCATATATGCAGGAGCATGGGAACACAGGGTGACTCCCACGGAACGGAAGAACTATGGGACAAGTCACGTGACGATAAGAGATAAGAAGGTCCGTACGCCAAGGATACGGACCCCGTCCTTTCAGAATACGGGGCCCGTTGGGTAAACATACGGACAAAGGATATGTTCAGGAACGAGACTTGTATATAGGATGGACTTGAGCCGGGCTCAAGGACAGACTTCCCATAGCTTCTTCAGCAATCAACTTAGTATCAGATCTTATGATCGCTTTCAGCTATCTTCACTGAGAACCCCTCCTGACAAGACTACGACTGATCACCGAAGCCTTACCTACCTTACGACTTACAGACGTAGCTTCAGGGAAGCTATCCACGACTACGACACTGTTTACTTAGTACTCGCAGCCTCAACTTCTGCTAACATACTCACTACGACTAGCTGGCCGTAACAATAGTATAGGTTACTAGCTAATTATATAAAACTAACGTTAAAGTACTTAGCGGCCTTCTAAATATTTATATTATTAGTTAAAAAATCCTCTTAATAGCTTTTTTTTTATTATTAAATAATATTATAATATTACTTAGCTACTAAGCGGGTACGTTTTTTTAGCTCGGATTAAGTATTACCTACCCTTCTCTCTACCCTCGCCCATTTTCTTTAGTAAGTATAGATCTACCGGAGCTATACAAAGTCGGCTATCTACTATTTCTTTATATATAGAAATAGCTTAGCTTTAGGGGTTAGTACTTCTATTACCTCGTATACTATAAATATTAGTCGATCTATTTATTACTATACTATACTTCTTATTAATATTCGCTATAGGTTTATTTCTACTCTCTTATTAATTTATTTTTATAAAGCGTTCTTAAGGAGGAGCTATAGTTAGCTTTTTATTTTAAGTACGGTAATATTAAAGGTCGTTTTAATTACTTAGTAATCCGACCCGTAGTCTATTTTATATAGGGCGTATCGTACTACCGTTCTTATTAACTCTTCGGATATAAGGGATAAGTTAATTATCGTTATTACCTCGTTCTTCTCCTACGTTTTTATATTACATAAAAAGAGGCTACGGAGCGAGTACTCGCTTATTAGATGGATAATCGGGTTTATTTTACTTTATTAGCCCTCTAATATATTATTATCTCCCTATAAGTAGTTATAATAGTTAAAGTCTCTTATTAAAACTACGTCTACCCTTTTACCTATTCCTCCTCGGATATTTATAATAACTTATTTTAGTAAGTCGCACGCTTGCTATAATATCTCTAGTTTTTATACCGGTACGTATACCGACGTTACTAATAGCCTTTAATCTAAAAGCTGGATAACGGCCGTTATAATATTTAGTAATACTATTAGTACCTATTCTACCTTTACTCCTCTATTTACTTATAATAAACTCCTAATTCCCTATTTTCCTTCGTCCCTCTACTCCGTTAGTACTATTTTCGTCTACTTACTATATATTATTAAAATAGTAATAGTCTTACTTTCTATCCTCTACGCCTATAGCTCCTATACCGCTATAGTCGTAAAGTTACGTAGTACTTCGTTATTTATTAAACTCTTATAGACCTTAGCCTACTTCTTTATATTAAGCTAAAAGATCTAAACCTTCTTATTTATAAGAGTACGGATATAGCTTTAAATAGTTCTTACTAAACAACTCGTACGGTCTACTATAAGGTACGTATATTATAATCGTCTTATTATATTTAGAGTAATAATAACCTACCTTAGTATATTATCTATATACCTAGGGGTTTACGTACTAATATACCTTATACTTAGTAATCTATTAGTAATTATAGTACTATTAAGGACGTAGCTACTACTTAAATACTATTATTATACCGGACTCTCCTCTAATATAGAAAAAGCCCTTACTAATCAGTCTATACTGTTACGGCCCAACCAGTTGGGTGCTGGCCGGCGTACCTATATAGTGCAGAACAGGGGACAATGATGCCGGAGTCATCATTATCGAAGCTTTTGCTTTGTGCCACAGTTGGTTGCCCTGACCTGCTCGTAACATATACGTATTACTAACCTTAGTTATAAATATAACTATAGACCTATACTTTAGGTATATCTTTCTTACTTAGCTAAGATATTGTTACGGCCCAACCAGTTGGGTGCTGGCCGGCGTACCTATATAGTGCAGAACAGGGGACAATGATGCCGGAGTCATCATTATCGAAGCTTTTGCTTTGTGCCACAGTTGGTTGCCCTGACCTGCTCGTAACAGATATCTTAGTAATTATAATCTCGTTTTCTTAGCTAAGTACCTCTACCGTTTTAGCCTTAATATTACTATTCTTACTTAGTACCTTAGTTCGCTTTATATTATCTACTTTTATAAAATAGAGCTCGTTTTATAATATACTTATTCTAAAACCAAAGCTCTTTTCTATAATTTACTTAACAAGCTTATACTTAATATTATTATAATATATAATCTAGATCCTATCCGTATTCCTTAGGTCTACTATAATAGCCCGATAGTACTAATTACTCTATCCGTCTATAGTACGTATTTCCTTCTTTACTATAACCCGGATCTAACCTACGTTAAGCTTATTACTTATTTTATTAACTCTTAATATATTAATTATATAAAATAAGGGATCGCTGCGGCTCGGTAGCGTCGCGTTACCCACTATAGCTACCCGTGAGTTATAACCTTACTTACCTAAGCCGCTTTATATAACATCCGTATAGGATACGCTTAGGCTATTCCGCGTTATAACTACTACCGTAATTATTTTAAAGCTTTCGTTCGTCTTAATACTTTCGTCCTTTATACGTTCTTTTATTATTTATAGCTCTTTTTTAATAAATTATAGTTCGCTTTTAACTATTTCTAGCTCTAAAATAACTACGCAAAGCTCTACTTTAACGTTTTTATTCTATATTTCTAATTTTTTTTATATATTAAATATAATTTTAACTACTATATATAGCTCTTTAACCTACTTATTTATTATTAAGAGTAGTCCCTTATTATTATCCTTTATATATTTTATACGTTCTTTAGCTAAGGTTACGGCTCGCGTACTCGCCGTCCGCTAGCTATTATTTGAAATCTCCGTTATTCCGTTAGTTATATTATTAATTATCTCTTAGGGAGTTTAGTTTAATTAGACTTTTATAGATGGTTTCTATACCCTTTATAATAATAGATCCTCGTCGCTCGCTACTATAACCTCCCTTGTAATAGTGATAGACGTTGAATCTAGCTCGCGATCTATTACCTTAGGACGTATATATAAGTAGAGTCGCTACGCGGTGGATCGTGCTAGTGCCACGTAGCGCGTTCCGGAGCTTCTCAACAGCGATCAACTTAACAACGTCGAATGATTCTTTAAACATACAAATATCAAAAATCTTCCGTCGCGGTCTGATCACGGATATTGAGGGCTCATCTCAATCTGACATATTACACCTCTCTGTACACTGAGCATTGCTTCCCTAACTGTTTATTTCGCTATCGTCTGGGCTCTCCAGCAACCCCTCCAATCAGATTAGCATGAGGAGGGGCTCATCCTTAAGCCGTTGATTGGGCAGTGTTTTTTGTTGGCTTCGGAATATCAAGTTTCCGACAGCCGCGTCGCCGACCAATGATGCAGAAGCCCGCAAACCCCACCCGCTAGTTGACCGACCACTTATTATCTGCCATGACCGAATTATCAGAACAGATCAATCGCACTCCATTGGAAATGGGCTCAATGGTGTCCGCAGTACCTTCAACTCCGTATGCACCAGGGAAAAGACGCCATAATCTACGATTCAGTAGATCAACTCGGCCAAGAAGGTACGAGCCCTGGCTCTCGCTGCTTAACCCCTCTAAATCATTCACAGATCTTCGGAACCTGACCCTCCCTCTCCTGGTTGCCTTGCCTTGCCACGTCCCCTCAATATCTCTACCATCGACATCGGGCTGCGGCAGTTTACAAAATGATTTCCTCAGACTTATCTCGGCCGCAGCCTCCGACAGCTTCGACTTCAGTCGCGTCAAACCACTTCTGAAAGCGGCTTTCTCTGGTAAACTCGATGATGCCACCATTTGGGATCAAGCACATAGAGCCATTACAGAAACCACGCCCCCCTCCCCCCCCCCCCCCTCCCCCGGAGAAGAATAGCTTCCTCGCTTCAAAAAACACCATGGCTGCGGAGCACGACCAGTTTTACCAACACATCCGAACATCGCCGATATGTTGACGATATACCGAAGGAGGAGCTCGGCACTACGTACGTGAAACTTCTCGGTTTCCGAGATGCGTACTTTTGAAGATTGGACGGACTAGAAGCTGCATCCACGGAGGTTTTCGATCAGTGCTTTCATGACCGCGAGTCTGTATTTCAAAATGGCTGGAGGGATGGCCTCGGGATCCGAACGAAAAAACCGTGTTGGAGTGGCTTGCCGACATCGTAAAGACGCTGGCGCAACTTGCAAAAGCCCAGAAGTCCAATACGACACATCAGCGGAGCCTTTTAATACAGCCCAATACGCCGATGCATGGTTCGACGGCGGACCGCAGACTGGATGTTGGGTTTGTCGATGATTCAAAAGGACCTCCATACCACTGGAAGCAAATATTAGTACCCGGAGAACTGAAGAGTAATCCGTCTGCCGACACCGCCTCCAAAGCTTGGATCGACCTTGGGAGATATGCGAGGGAAGTGCTAGCCACACAGGACACCCGACGCTTTGTGATGGGCTTCACGCTCTGTGGATCTCTCATGAGGGTGTGGGCCTTTGACCGGCTTGGAGCCCTCGCATCAGAGCAGTTTGACATCAACAAAGACGGCCTGCAGTT